CTTGAAATGCCAACCAGCTGGGAAAAGTGACTGTGTTAAATCCAGCACTTTCTTTCCCCCTTGTCTGCTCCCTGCTCCCACAACTTTCCTCCCCTAGCATAAAGTATGAGCTTTAGTTTGGGACATTTGTGTGGACTCATTTGGACACACATGCACAGAGCACTGGAACATGGTTTAATCAAAGCTAGTGTGTTTTGGAGGACTCCTAGGATGCAAATGAAGACCCAAATAGAGCTCTTGGGTGCCCTGGTAAGGATCCTGGGATGACACACAGAGCTCTAGGACAGGTCTCAGACCTCTGCATACGGGAATCTTTCATGTTGCCAGGACTTTCCTTTCTGCTCTTGTTCTTCATTTCTTCCTCAGCACTTGGCTGCAGAGCTTGGCATTTTAGTTTCAGCCACGAGAGAGAGAGAGAAAAGAAAGAAAGAAAGAGAGAAAGAGAGAAAGAAAGAAAGGAAAGAAAGAAAGGAGGGAGGGAGGGAGAGAGAGAGAGAGAGAGAGAAAGAAAGAAAGAAAAGAGAAGAGAGAAAAGAAAGAAAAGAAAAGAGAAAAGAAAGTGACTCCTAAATCTTGGCTTTCTAGGAAGGGGATTTGAACTTCCCAGCTGTCATGGGGACAATGGCCTTTGTGAGGGGGCCATGAGGAGGATGGAGGGAGAAGGAACACTTCTAGGGAGGAGGAGGTAGCTTTCCAGGAGAGAGTGATGCCTGCAGGTTTCTTGAAGACTAGGTGTCTTCTGTGTTGTTCTAACACATTCCTGAGGATTGACCACATAGCTGAGTGCCTGTTTTAAATCACTCAGCAGACTTAACTGTAATCTTAGATTTTTTTCTTCCAGCTTCTTGTCAACTTCAAGCTTTAATTATAATTATTCTCCAGCAAGCATGTCCTAGCACTTCCTCATTTGTCAAATCAAGCTAACAGAATTAAAAAGTCCAGTGAGAGACGCCACCTTTAGAACACCAGAAGGTGGACCTGTGGGCTTCCCATTACTTTTGTTTGGAATATCGTTGTTGTCAGGATTATGCTCAGTCCTCTTGAGTCTCTGAGTAGTCAGAAACAATAAGTCACCATTCACCAGTGAGTATCAGGACACTTTGCATAGATGAAAATCAGTCTTTTTCCCTCTCCACCACAGTACTAAACCCAATGCCAAGGGAATGAAAACTGGCTGTTGAGCACTGACATCCATGCTTTGTGTTTCAAGGTTTGTGTTGGGCTGGGGGCATGGCTCAAGTGGTAGAGCACCTGCCTAGCAGGCCTGAAGTCCTGAGTTCAAATCCAAACACTACCAAAAAGAAAAAAAAGATTTGAGTTAGTGACTGTGCTTAATGTGTTGTATTTTGGAAACAGTGTAGATGTAAATATATTCTCACCACAGAAATGATAACAATGTAAATGTGAGTCAACTCCCTGTATAGCTATCCTTATCTCAACTAGCAAAAACCCTTGGTCCTTCCTATCATTGCTTATACTCTCTCTTCAACAAAATTAGAGATAAGGGCAAAATAGTTTCTGCCGGGTAGCGAGGAGTAGAGAGGGGAGGGGGTAAGGGGGGGGAGAAATGACCCAAACATTGTATGCACATATGAATAAAATAAAAATTAAAAAAAAAAGAAATGATAACAGTGTGAGGTAATACATGTTAATTAGTTAGATTTAATCATTTCACAAGGTATCTACACTTTAAAACTTACTAGGATGGGAATGTACCTCAGTAGTAGAACACTAGCCTGGCATAGTCAAGGCCCTGGGTTCAATCTCCAGCGCCTCCAACACAAACAAGAAAACAAAACACACACACAAAAATACATACAATTTTCTTTTTTGTTAAGGTAGGGTGTTGCTATGTAGCCCAGACTGGCCTTGAACTCTTCTTAACCCAGGCTGGCCTCGAACTCAAGATCTTCCTTGCCTTTGTCTCCTGATGCTGGGATTACAGGCGTATGCCACCTGGCCGTACATACAAATTAATCTGTCAGTTAAATTTTTCCTATCAGAAATAAACAATAAATGAATTAAAGGATATAGTCTTTCTACCAAGGGAATGAACGATCTGAATTCATTTGCAACTGATAACTACCCGGGCGTATTCTGAATCCATTAAAAGTAAAGTTCCTGGTAGTATTTCCTTTGCTTTTCAGAATATTGTAATCCCCCGCCCCAACCCCTATCTCCGTAGTATCTGTCTCCAGCCCCATCCTTTGCTGGGATTTAAAATTAAAGAGTGGAATCTGCAGCCCAGCAAGGCCCCCAAATGATTGTGGTTTCCATGGAAACAGTTGAAGGCCTCTCAATTAAAACTGCCCCTGCAGGCTAGGCTAGGGAGAGTACATACTCAAACGAGTTTGAGAAGCCAAATTCTCATCTTTCAAATTACAGCCGGAAAGGACAAATGGCTTGGGTGGGTACTGATAGTTAGGATCATAATTTCTGGCCTTTTGGGGCAGAATTTTATCTTGGTATTTCAGGCACAAGGATTTGTGTGTGCTTGCTTGCTTTTGTGGAGCTGCTCAGATAATTGTCCTCTTGTCCACTGAACTCTTGTACAGCCATGGATTGTGGAAGAGTGTTTGGGAAGAATCTGATCTTTACTCATACTTGGGTTTGAGTCACAAATAAAAAGCCTATTAAAAATGGATGAAATCATAGAGTAGTGTCAAGTTGGAAGGAGCCTAAAGGCCATTTAGTCCCAACTTTGGGACTCCTTTCTAGTCTACAGTTGATGGTTCATAGCATTAGCTGCCCAAGGCCGGAAGCCCATATTTCTAAGGACAGCCTTCTCTATCCACTGCCAAAGACCTGGTGGTGTTAGAAATGCCTCTTTAAAATGGAACCTAGCTGAGCGTGGTGGTGCATCCCTGTAATCCTAGCTCTCCAGAGCCTGAGGCAGTATGGTCACAAGCTCAAAATCAAACCAGACTGTGTAGCAAGTTGCAGACCACTTTGGCTACATGGTGAGACCCTGTCTCCAAAAAACGAAAAATAGAAAAAGATGGAACTGACCTCTTTCTCTGGCCCTTCCAGCCCTGCTACCCCATCTTTATGGTGCCAAGTAAATCAAGGCTACATCTCCTGTAATTAAGTCAACTTGTCAGACTTTAAGAATAGCACCAAAGCCTGCTCTGTAATGGGTTTCCGCCCCACCACTGGCCTTTGACACCTTGCCTGGATCTGTCAGACTTTTCTGGCAACATTTTTCTCAGCATCATTTGTACAAGTGTTTTCCTTCAACCTTTTCCATCCTGGATGGAGTGAGTGTTCTAGTTCAGAGCTTAGAAACCTAAGAAACACAAAACTGGGCCAAGCCCTTGGTCTGTGCAGGCTCCTGGAGAGCGTGGCTGCAGACACTGATGAACACATCCTTCATTCCCCTGCTGTGGTAACTTCTCAGCCTTTGCCTGGGACTTTACTTAACCCCTGACCTTTTCTGCTTGGTTTAAAACTTTATATTTTTGGAACCCTTTATTCCTTATGTGTCCTGTTATTAATATCCTATCATCATTCTGAAGTTGACACCCCTTCCCCCTAAAAAGAAACAAACAGAAAAACCTTGCAAACAAAATACTCTTCTTCAAATGTTTTTGCAAGTGGATTGAAACTTAAAGTTCCTAAACTCAGGTTTGATTGTCACCAACTGAGAAGCCAAGTACATGGTCCTTCTTGGTGGGGAAAGAGGACTGAAATACACATCTGTTCTGGTTCCAGAATAATCATGTGACTTTCAGCCCATTGCCAAACTACTCTGAGCTCCATTTTCCTCAAGTATAAAATCTGATGAATACTTCCTGTTCTTCTAGGTTGTTGGGAGTGCTTTGAAAATAAGCGTTTAATATTAAGACTTGGCACAAACTATATGTCATGATATTCTGAAGGTATTTTGATTTGAGAGTTCAAAACAAATTTAATAAGAAAATAACATATTGATATTTTTAAGACTCAGTTTCAAAATAACAGTAGCTGGTCTTCATGTGAATAAATAGTAAGCATGTACATTGTATTTTGGAGAAAAATATTATAATTTCTAATTCTGGGTAGTATTTAATGTGGTTTCAACACTTAAGGAAGAAAGGATTTCAGTAAGAAGTGTCTTTTGTGTGGAGAAATAAAATTACTCTGGGTTCCTTTGATAGTGTTTGGGTAGGAAAATAAAAAGATTGAAAGGAAGGGTGTAACCTCTGATTTTTTTTCTCAATCTCAACTTTCAAAAGAAGGTGTTAGGAAATACTCCTTCCAACCCATGCAGAACATCCATCAACCATGTAAGTGGGCTTTTGGGATCTTTGTCTAATGGGTCTCCCCATGAAGCTTAAGGGTGGAACAGGACCCACCCTTGGACAACTTGTAGGCGCTCGTGGCCAGGACTGGATGCTCTGCTGGTTTTCAGCTTCTAGCCCTTCCTTATTTTCTGAGAAATGTTGAAGGCTTTCAAGTAGGCAATGGTCTAACATCTGCAGCCCTGGGGGAACTTAATATGGTACCTTTTCCTTTTAGCGTGCTAAAGTCATATTTGTTGTATGATATTCTTACACCAATATTTTACTCAAACCCACTTACATTTGGGGACATAGAAGTAATGGCATCATCTAGGTTTTCTCCATATCAGGTCTGATGATGGTTTGTAGGAGTCTTTCTTTTCCTGTTTATGGTTTTGCTAAAAATATAAACACATTTACATTTTGGAAAGAAAGTGGTTTCTTCTCCCTCCCTCCTTCTCTCCCTCCCTCCCTCCCTTCCTTCCTTCCTTTCTCTCTTCTTTCCTTAGTTCCTCCCTCCCTTCCTTCCTTAGTTCCTTCCTTCCCTTGCTCCTTTTCTCCCTCCCTTCTTTTCTTTTCTTTTCCCTTTTCTCCATTCTTTTCTTTCTTAGTATTATCTGTTGAACACTAATCATGCCTGGTAATCTGATGACTACTGAAGCTTTTCTTTGGGAAAAGAAAAAGTCTGTCAGCAGACTAACATTACCTCCTGGTGCCTTGTGTCTTGTTTTCCACTCACAGGGAGTTCTGTCCAACATCTCTTCCATCACTGATCTTGGTGGCTTTGACCCAGTGTGGCTCTTCCTCGTTGTGGGAGGAGTAATGTTCATTTTGGGATTTGCAGGGTGCATTGGAGCACTGCGGGAAAACACTTTCCTTCTCAAGTTTGTAAGTATCACTCGAAAATATGGCCCAGGTCCTGTTTTTTTTTTCAGAAGAGCTCCCAAGCTCCTGCCCTTCTGCTCTGGACATGCCTCCTTAATAATTTAAGTACCACCCACCGCTTGTCACCCATTGAGGTTTTCATACATGTGTGGCACAAGTTTGCCTGTCAGTCCCTAAAGCAGCTTTGGACTAAGGTAGGTATATGTCTTTTTTTTTTCTTTTAAGGAATTTCCTCCCTCTTTTATGCACATAGCTGTGCAGGTAATAGTCTAGAGAAACCAGGTGTAAGTATAGTGACATGGACCAACCAGGCCAAATGTGTAGCAGCTTTTAGTAAACATGGAGAAACCATAAAAGGTAAATCTTCTTCATACTTGGCCAGTACAAAGTTCTCCTTCTTATGACTTGACAGATTTTAGATCCTTTTTCAGAATGTTTATTTGGCATGATGACTGTCAGCATGAATATCTGTAGAAGAGGAATTTTACCAGGGGCTGTATTATTAGTATTAAAAGTAAGAGTAGAGGATGAAAAGTGAAAGCCTTCTCTTTGGAGATTTCTTTCAAAGGAGAACAAATGCCATGTATTATATATTTGTATCTTAAATAGGATTGATGACTGTGGCCACAAACCAGCCCAAAGTGCCTGATAGTGTGGGGCTTGGCTTTCTGGTGGGTCTGCATACAAGAGAGCCCACCTTCCTGTGGTGAGGGAAGGCCAGGGGGATTTCCAGAGAACCAGCTACTAGAATCATTCCCAGCCTTGATGACCCAACATCATCAGAGCCATTTTCATTTCAAACAAGAGCCTATGGTAGAACTTGTCCCAGCAGCCATGCAGTGAGTCTCTGCTTCAGCATTTCTGCTACCTAGTCCTCTGACATCTTTTCTTGAGCATCCGTAGGAATAGGGACTCACTGTGTCTTACCCAGGGTTGCTCAGGTGGAAGTTGGATGACTCTAGCTCAGAAAAGGTCTGGAGGCTATTACGCTGAAAGTTCACATGACTCATGCTAACAGTGAAAACCTAGGGGTGCATGGTCTGAGGTATAATTTAATGAGTAGCTGGTTTTCTTTTCTATAGCTGGTTTTCTTTTCTATGTACTTGGGAGTATGGTAGGAGTAGTGTTTCCTAAGCCTTTGTCTCCCTTATCTGCCATATTCATCCTTTTCTAACACACACACACACACACACACACACACACACACACACACACACACACCCCCTAACACTTTGTTCTTCACTTACTCACAGACCTATTGAAATTCCAGCAGAGCTTTGTCCCTGGTTGTGATGTGCCAACCCACCAGTCTTCTTAGCATGAGAGATCTCTAAATGCTGAACTTGCTTCACTCTGCTCTCCTGTAGCCTGTTTGGACCCTGTCTACTTATCTGCTGTCACTATTATCAGTTGAAGCCTCCCTACCCCAAAATACAGGGGGGTTTCCTTTTTATGGGATTTACTTGAATATAGTTTCAATATCACAGTATCCTTTTATAAAGTACAGTGTTGGAAATGAAAAGAATTATGTTGTTCCTTGGCTTTTTGAAGTCTTGGAGAGTATTTTAAATGGCCTCTCTATTTAGTATAAACAATAAAAACTGGCCTAGCGTATTCTTTGAGCAGGAACTAGATAAGTAGGAAGTAAATGTCACCATACCTCCAGACACTCTGAAAGATTTATTTCCATAAGACCAGGAGAATTGCTGATGGAAGACCCAAGAGCTACGGTACTGTCACATAGAAGCACAGCTTCCCTAGACTGAGTCTCTTGAGTAAAAGCTGTCAGTCAGTTTCTGCACTTTTAGAAACTGGGAAGTTAGCTCACAGTGCCCTGGGCAAATAGGTTCCTGCCAGATATTTGCTGTCAATTGAATTTGGACTCAATTATTTGATATGCATATTATGTAATATGAAAATATTTACCAGCGGAACTAGAAAGTGAACTTACCAAACTTTATGGAAGTGAGAACAAAAATCTAGTGAAAATCTTTTCATGACTTTGTCTTGCTGTTTTGTGTGTGTGTGTGTGTGTGTGTGTGTACACATGTGTGCTAGCTATGATTTTATCATTTCCGTAGTGTGAAAATTTGAATTTTCATATGTTTAGGGTGGTACCCAGTGAACGGAAGGGAATTGTTTCATACTAGGAGTGGGCATTGAGAAAACTGGTATGATTTTGTGTGTGTGTGTGTGTGTGTGTGTGTGTGTGTGTGTTCTTTTTTCTGTATCAAAGAAAGTTTAACTTGAAACAATTGGTACCACTGATGACAGTTAAGAAACACCAATGATAATTAAGAATCGTTCATTTTTATTTCCAGTGGTCTCATCTGGATAAGCAGGAGCTTTATGGGCACCTGAAGTGCACTGAGGGTCCTAGAGTTTGCCAGGTTCTGATTTCCTCCTCTGGCCCTCCTCCCACAGGTCCGCCCCACAGGGAAGCACTTGTCACCCCAGACAAGCACTGTCTGGCTATAGTGATGCTCCACAGTACTATCCTCTCCTACCCCCTATGGTCTACCCCCTTGGTCACTTAAGAATGAGGTCTTTGAAGGCAGGGGTATGGCCTGCTTCATCCTCACATCTGCAAGGCCCACCTTATCACAGGACCTGCCACTGTGGGTCATTCAGTAGACACTTGCTGAATGGATAGACTTTTTTTAATAAGCAACTGTGTCATTTCTTTTGCACCCTACCCCATTACATCTCTCTCTTGGCTGGCTGCTTAGTATCTCCTTGCTGAGGACAGAGATCCCAGACTGACCTCTGCCTCCCAGAAGTCTCCCTTTGGCTGCATTTTGATGTTACTTAAAATGTTTCCTGAGCTTGTGCTTCGCAGAGGAAGGAGAGTGCACTTAGCATTCCAGAGAAAGCCCTCAACCTAGGGTCTTGTTTTGTTTTCATAACTGGAAATTAGTTTCATTTCCTGGTTATACCTCCCCAACCCCCACACTTCTTTGACCTCTTCATCTGAGATGAACGGATCTGTTATTTTACACTGTACAGCAGGTACAAAGAGGCATTAAAACAGTGTCTGAGTCTAGAAAAGGGATATATTGCTACAGAATCAAGGCCACAGTAGTAAACGACAGGCAACTGTAAAATATTGGGATAATCTATCTTTCAAGTTAAAAACAGTTTATAGACGTAGGGGCAGGTCATTGTTCATGTGTCTAGCGTACATTAATCATGAGCAATTCATTAGGCCTTAATATGGGTCTAATGAGAAATTCCCATTACTTATGTTTGCTTTTGGCTTTGTTGGTTAATTATCAAATGGAACACCAGAGACTCTAAAATGTGATTATGAAGTGATTTTTTAATTTTTAAAAATCATTTCTTGAAATGTAAGATTCTATTAACAAATCTTAAGAAACTAAAGATTATCTGCTTTGGATGTATAACAATCGGATGTAATTACAGACCTCTTTAGGGAAGAATCATTTAACACGTATGATCAAACGCCCTTGTAACTGCTCTCTGTGTCTTTTGTCTTAGTTTTCTGTGTTCCTGGGAATTATTTTCTTCCTTGAGCTCACTGCTGGGGTTTTGGCATTTGTTTTCAAAGACTGGATCAAAGACCAGCTATATTTCTTTATAAACAACAACATCAGAGCATACAGAGATGACATTGATTTGCAAAACCTCATAGACTTCACCCAGGAATATGTAAGTTTAAATTTAGTTTATTTTCAAGCCAAAACTCTTCTCAAAAGAATGACCTCCATAATACCTTCTGCATCTTTGCAAGATGTAAATTACCTCTGACCTTTCTGCATGGTTTTTTATTATTTTCTCACTTGTTCTGTGACTTACAGGATTTATATCCCAAGCAGAAATGTTCTAGATTCACTTGTTTCGATTCCTGTTAAAGGAAAGGAACAAGAATAAAAGCCTTGAACAAAAGGTTATAATCATAGCTACCCTTGCCTCTTAGCCCTTGAAGAACGTTGTTTTGTTAGGTTTAAAGTCTTATTTGCTTATTAAATATGAATGCTGTTTTGTTCCTTGCCCCCCTTTTGTTAACCCCCGTACACCACAGCTCATAATATATATGTAATAGAATATTTGTTCATAAAGTTCCTTAAATATGTCTAAGTACTGTTAGCTCATGTGCAGTTAAAACCAAAAGTTTAGAAGCTCCCAAGGCTTACTGGCTTCTAACAAGTGGAGAATTTGTGCAGTAGAGTCCCACCTACTCCACAGGTGCCTGAACTTGACAGTGAGATGGCTTCTGCAGTGTAAACAGAGTGGCAGATGTCCTGTTTCACTCAAAATGCAAAATGCTATAAACACAGGGCCAGAAGCCACAAGCCTCCTTGATCTTGGACTAACAGAACCTTGATCTGTTTCCCTAGCAGAAAAATGGAAATAATAAAAGCTACTGATGAACTTACAGGGATATTATGGTACTCTAAAGAGATATACACTGTTTCCTATTTGGCATGAGGTGTTATTGTCCTATAAACAAGCAGGTATTTATATATCTGCACTAAAAAATTGGGTAAATGGACCAGACTTGATTAATGTATAGACAGGACTGAAGGACAGACAGAAGCACAGTGGATCAGTGGCCTGCTTTGGGGCAGACAGTTCTCACAATGAACTGAGATCACCTGTGGTAACAGAGGATGGTCATGACCAAGGCCACCTTTCCTCACTAGGCGCTGAGCATGGAGCTGTTAGCTGTGTTTAACGGTTATCTGGAGTAAGCTGCACCTCAGGTGTGAAATTAAGCCCTGTTTCATCTCCTCAGCAGACTTCACTGTTTTGCTAGGTCACAATGGATGAGAGCTCACAACTTCCCAAGAATTTTTCCTGACTGGTTTGCATGACAAACTTGATGGGGCTTGCAGGCAAACCTCCAGAGGCCTAACCCCGGCCCTCAGAGGACCAGATGAGTCTGAAGAACATGCATTCACACGTCCTTCTGAAATGCTGTCTGTTCTATTCGGAAATACTGTTGATTCATGTGATCTCTCTGTCCTGGAGTTTAATGTTTGGAAGTAGCAAAGTAGTTATTGGTCCTGAAAGCTTTAAAATGTTCAAGACTTGATATTTATTTAACTCAGAGAAGTAGAACTAGTCTAAGCCAGGGGAGTGAGGAATGGGGTTACTGGAGTTGCCAAAGTAAGTCCCCCCCCTTAAGGCCCACTGAGTATACCAGCTTATTTTATTATAGTTTAATTAGATAGCTGATTTTTAATGTAAACACGGGTTCTTGTTTTTTTAAAAGTCAATGAAGAAACAAGTGTAAGGCAAAGTAAGCCTCTAAAGATTTTAGGGAAATGGATAAGTTCACTGTGGTCTTTTTTGCTGTTGTCTTCATTATGGTGCTGGGTATGGAACTAGGGCCTCACTCATTCTAAACACATGCTCTACCACTGACCTCCATCCCAGCCCCATGTTCACTATCTTGGTGATAATTTCATGGTGTTCTCCATATATCAGAACTTATCAAGTTACGTACTTTAAAAATGTGCAGTTTACTGGATGTCAATTATACCTCAATAAAACTCAAGAATTATTGAAGTATGGAGGTAAAAACTTTAGGCCCAGTTGCCTCCTTCAGACATTATCACTGTTACTATCTTGTTTATCCTTCTAGAATGCACACAAGCCAAACAGATCTTGTTCTAACCACATCCTACAGTACAATACTCTTCCCTTCGACCACATAACACCCTGGGTCTCATCTTTTAAGTCGTATGACAATATACTTTTACAAACCTTCAGCCATAATTACTTGGGAAGGTATTACAGGGGCCATTTAGGTTCCATTTGGCTTAAGCATAAATTGTGAGACAGAGGAGGAGGTTGGAGCTGGCAGAAGCTGGGTGTTGTGCTGGTGGGTGTGAGCGTAGGCTGGTGGTCTCCAAGTGGAGATGTTCTAATTCTCTCCTGTTTGCTCTAGTGGCAGTGCTGTGGGGCTTTTGGAGCTGATGATTGGAACCTAAATATTTACTTCAATTGCACAGATTCCAATGCAAGTCGAGAGCGATGTGGCGTGCCATTCTCCTGCTGTACTAAAGACCCCGCGGTAAGTGAAAGCCAACAGAATGCTGGCCTGCCCCATGCCTCACACCGAACGTGTGTGGGATGGGCAGAGCGATTTGTTTCATGAAACCTCTTCTTACCTGCTTATGCCTAATTGTAGCTCCTCTAAGGGGTGCAGTGCTCAGATCTTCCCAGTTGGAGCAAAAATGGCTGGCATTAATTTAGCAGTACCAGCTGGTTTCTATCTAAGCCTTCACGTGCACTGCTCATTTAAGTTCAGAACATTCCTACCAGCAGATACAGTCATTATCCTCTTGTGGATGAAGAAACCAAAGCACATGGAGTGTAAATAACTCTCCCAGCTCACACTGCTTGCAGGTGATGGAGTGGAGCACAAGACCCAGGCAGCCTGTCTGGATCACTTGGTGTGCTTTTTTTTTTTTTTTTGAGGTCAGGCTCATATGCGAGATCTCTGGTTTGGCTTGGGGTTAGTAACCCTTTTCTTCCTGGCTAAGTTCTAGGGAATGTATTAGGAACAGGAGGAGAATTTGAGACACAGTGGAGCTAGACTATTCTTTGCAAGACCACTGCCATCCAGAGTCTTGGGTGTCATCATGATGACAGTAATTTTGTAGTTTCTTTTTCCAAAAGAAAACATATAAAAGCTACTCATAAGACAATCCCTTTGACCACAGGTTTGATTATATTTTGGGTCAGATCACATGCCTGGCACATAGGATAGCTGAAAATACAACTCCCATATTGCAAGGGAAAAAGCAGAATGGAGTGTTAGCTTGACCTAGTGAGAGGTGGCTCTTGCACTTGCTCCTGTGTGCTCCTAGCACTTCAGCCTCTTTCTGCCCTTCATCCCTAGATTCCTCCTCCACCCACCTCACCCCAGCGAGAGTGAGTGAGTCCCTTGAGGCAGTTCCTGCAAGGTGGAAGCTGTGGGGCTCTTTAACGGGAGCCAGGGTTTGTAGGGGGAAGCAGACTGTTTGCGGGGGAACCTATAGGCTGCCCATGGGTTGAGGGGGTGTCACCTGGACTGTTTCTCTTGGTTTGAAGGAAACTCAGAATTTAAGGACTGTGCCACCCTGTCCCTGATTCATTTCCTGCTGACTAGGTTCTGTGTTTCTTCGGAGGAGGGCTAGATGGCAGCACAATGCCTAGCTCTGAACCCAGAAGTGCCCACTCAGGTAGTCTTGCCACTGCCAGCAAGTGGTATACCACACACTCCCCATCTTTTCCTGTTGTCACCAGTCCTATCAGAAGAGGAGTCATTAGACTTCTCTTTCAACTCTACACCCTCTCCAGAGGGGAAGAACAAACTAACTCACCATGCTTATGTCAGTCTGCCCATGTGCTATGTAGTGAGGACAGTGTTTTGTTTTGTAATTATGGAAGTCCTGCATTCTCATTGGAAAACCATTTAAATAACAGCAAAATTTATAGATCAAAAAGTATGAATGCATGCCTGGCATGTACTAGGCCCTGGGTACAATCCCCAGACCATAAAAAAAAAAGGTAGAAGTGCCCCTCCCAAAAGAGTATAAATGAAGATAGTCATTGTGTCCTTTAAGTTGGGTTTTTACATCTCCAGTTTCTTAAACCTCATAAGCTTCTTGAGGTTGGCAACACTGTGAATCCTGAACATCATGAGTGATGGACCTTCTGTCCTTTCTGATATTCCAGGAGCCTCAGTTTCCCTCATTTGTAAGACAGGGTACATTTTAATACCTGCTTCTGAAAACTGCTGCAGTAAGTACATGGGACAACATAGGTAAAGGGTTTAACATAGTGCCACAGTCTTTGTGCTCCAATACACATTTTTTTTTTTTGGTGGGACTGTGGTTTTCATTCAGGGCTTCATAATTGCAAAGCAGGTGCTATATCACTGGAGCCACACCTCCAGTCCATTTTTTTTTCCTTTGGTTATTTTGGAGACGGGGCTCTTATAAATTATTTGCCCGGGCTGGCCTCAAACTTCAATCCTCCCAATCTCAGCCTCCCAAGCCAATATACATTTTGTTACTGAGTTTCTGTTTTACAAGGGTGAATTTCATTTTGTTCTTTCCTTCTTCCCCAGGAAGATGTCATCAACACTCAGTGTGGCTATGATGCCAGGCAAAAACCAGTAAGTGGTGTCTTCTCTTGCGGCTTAGCACACAGAGCGTTTGAAGGAGGTTTGTAATTGTGCTGTATCTGTGACCCTCTGCTCTCCTCTTCCCTTGTGAAGGAAGTTGACCAACAGATTGTAATCTACACGAAAGGCTGTGTACCGCAGTTTGAGAAGTGGCTACAGGATAATTTAACCATCGTGGCTGGTATTTTCATAGGCATTGCATTGCTTCAGGTAAGACATGGATCTCACTAGGAGTGGTGCCCAGGAGAGCCCTCACCAGGACAGGAGCTTCAAATTCCCTGAATATCTTTGTGTTTAAGAGATGTTGGAGGGTTGGGGAAACAGACCTAAACTATTTGATTTGGGTTTTATTAAAGGTCTGATTTCAGATCCTGAAATACTTTAGGAAACCTTTTTTTTCCTGAACAGGAAGGCACCTGTAATTACAGGATCACAGATCTAAATAGGATGGCATCCTGTGTTCACAGATGCCAAGACTTAATATTGTTCACATGGCATCACTCCTCCCATTGATCCCATGTAACCTCTGGTACAATTCCAACTGCCTTTTTAGCTGTAATGAAGAAGCTGGTCCAAAATTCATACGGAAATGCAAGGAACCTGGAGTAGTCCAAACAAACTTGAAAAAGAAGAACAAAGTTGGAGAATACACACATCCCAATTAAAACCTTACCACAGTATTTAAGATAGAGTGTAGTCAAACAAGCTTAGTCATCATAGACAAGTGGAAGATAATGGGAAAGTCCAGACGTAACCTCACATGTCTATGGTCAGTTGATTTTTGACAAGGGAACCAAAACCAATGGGGAAAGCCTGTCTTTTCAACAAATGGTGCTTGGAAAACTGGATATCTACCTACAAATGAATAAGTTGAAGAAAATCTTGATGATTTTTGATTAGGTAATGTTTCCTTATATGCTGTAATAACAAAAGCATAGCATCCAAAGAAAATGTAGCTAAATGGGACTTCATTAAAATTAAAACTCCCGTGTTAAAAATGATACTATCAAGATAACCCACAAAATAGGAAGTATTTGTAAATCGTCTTAAAAGGGTATAATATCTAGAATATATAAAGAATGTTTACACCCAATAATAAAAAAGAAAACCCAGCCAAGTGTGGTAGTGCACATCTGTTATCCCAGCACTTGGGAATCTGAGGCAAAAGAATTTCAAGTTCAAGGCCAGCTTGGGCTACAGAGAGAGACCCTGTTTCAAAAAATCAAAAGACCCAGTTTTAAAATGAAGAGGATTTTAGTAGACATTTCTCCAAAGCTGATAAAATGACCAGCATGCACATGAAATGATGTCATTGTCATTAGCATTATGAAAAGGCAAGTCAAAGCTACAGTGAGACACTTTTCATACCTGGTAGAATAGTTATAATAATAAATGACAGATAATACCAAGTGTTGGTGAAGACGTGGAACCGCACACATTGCTAGAGGAAATAGAAATGTTGCAGCCTCTTTGGAATACAATTTGGCTGTTCCTCAAAAAACATAGTTACCATACAATCCAGCAGTTCTACTCCTAGGAACATACCCAAAAGGACTGAAAAAATATATTCATCAAAAAGCTTATACACCACTGTTCATAGCTACAAAAAATGGAAGCAGTGCAAACATCCATCAGCTGATAAGTGGAGAAACAAAATGTCATATATACATATGATGAAATAGAATTCAGTCATCAAAACTGTGCATGGTGTGCACATCTGCAATCCCAGCTCTCAGGATGCAGAGGCAAGAGGATCATGAGTTCACAGCCAGCTTGGACTACATTTAAAACAACAACAAACCTAAGCATTCTTTGCAAGAAACCCTGGTTTTTCTGCTATGCACTGGTGGCTCACACCTGTAATCCTAGCTACTTGGGAAGCTGAGCTCGAGAAGATTATGGTTTGAGGCCAGCCCAGGCACGTAGTTCAAGAAAGCTCATCTCCAAAATAGCCAGAGCTAAATGGAATGGAGGTGTGGCTTAAGCGGTAGAGCACCTGCTTTGCAGGTGTGAATCCATGAGTTCAAACTCCAGTCTCATCAAAAGAAAGAAAGACAGAAAGAGAAAGAGAGAGATAAAGAAGGGAGGGAGGGGATGGAAGAGAATGGAAAGGAAAGGAAGAGAAAAGAAAGAAACCATAGTTTTCTTTCCCCCCCCCCACCCCGTTGAGGTCTTAGCTCCGTGGGCGGCAGGGGCAGCAGGGGTAGTGGGGGCAGCGGGGCTGGAGGTTCTTGCTGGTGTGAAATGACTGAGTACAAACTGGTGGTGGTTGGAGCAGGTGGTGTTGGGAAAAGCGCACTGACCATCCAGCTAATCCAGAACCACTTTGTGGATGAATATGATCCCGCCATAGAGGATTCTTACCGAAAGCAGGTGGTGATAGATGGTGAAACGTGTCTATTGGACATTCTGGATACAGCTGGACAAGAGGAGTACAGTGCCATGAGAGACCAGTACATGAGGACAGGCGAAGGCTTCCTTCTGCGTGTTCGCCATCAACAATAGGAAATCATTTGCAGACATTAACCTCTACAGGGAACAGATCAAGCGTGTAAGAGACTCAGATGATGTACCTATGGTGCTGGTAGGAAATAAGTGTGATTTGCCAACAAGGACAGTTGACATGAAACAAGCCCATGAACTAGTGAAGAGTTACGGGATTCCTTTCATTGAAACCTCAGCCAAGACTAGACAGGGTGTCGAGGATGCATTTTACACACTGGTCAGAGAAATATGCCAGTACCGAATGAAAAAGCTCAACAGCAGTGATGACGGGACACAAGGTTGTAATGGGGTTGCCATGTGTTGTGATGTAACAAGATACTTCTGTAAAGTTCTATCATCAGAAAAGAGCCACTTTCAAGCTGCACTGATCCCCTGGTCCTGACTTCCCTGGAGGAGAAGTGTCCCTGTTGCTGTCTATATTGGAGAAGCTCTGCCACTTCCCACCTCTCAGTAGATGAGCACACAGCATCTACTTGAGAACTTCTCAGAATAACTACCTCCTCAATTGGGTGTCTGACCAGAGAAATGCACCTCCTGTTATTCCCCAGTAGTTTTCTGCCCTGAGTTCTCCCCCTATCCCCACAAACAAACCTCCACCAGCCAGGTTTTTCATCTGAAAAGCGATTCATCCTCTGAAACAGAGAACCAAACTGTAGACATGAAATTCTGTTGAAAACAGTTTCCTGAGCTCTAAGTAGCAACTGCTGGTGATTTTTTTTTTTTCTTTTTACTGTTGAACCTGGACCTATGTTAGTTTTTGGAGAAATGTCATAAATTGCTGTTTTGCCAAGAATATAATTAATATTGGTGATTGGTTTGGTCATAATATTATCAGCTATATTCTATAAATTGGTATCTGCTCTGTCTTCATAAATACAAAAGTGAATACTGACTTTTGAGTCCATCCTAGTCATCTTGACATTCATGAAATTAAATCCGATTTTCACAAAAAAAAAAAAAAAGAAACCATAGTTTCTGGCTTCGACAATGTTTGTATAGAACTTGGTGCTTGTCACCCATGTGGGCCAGCCACTCAGAACCAGTGCTTTGCCACCTCTTCCTAGTGCTCCCTGACCACCCCTGGCCACTCCCCCACCCCTCCTTAGCCACCCCTGCATCCCTCTCAGATGTGACAGAACACCACCAGGACTTAGAGGCCACCACCATCTGCCAGATCAGTCTGGAGCTTTGTGCCACCTGGGTCTACCCCCCCCATGTCTGTGTCTTACACTTTGACCTTGTGGGTGTGGCTTTGAAGAACTCTGGTGAATACTTGCTTCACTGACCTCATGAGGAGAGGGTGAAGCTGCAGAACTAGTGAGGACATGGAATCTTCCTTCAGAATATCAAAAGACCAGATCATGTCAATCCTGGGGAAGAGCATCAATCAGTTAGTATTGGAGCTGTACAAACTAGCCACTGACAAAATTGACCCCCTATGTGTGACTTCATGAGCAAGGGAAATCCATCAAAGAGTTGGGTAACCATGTCACCAACTTATGCCATATGGGGGCCCCTTTATCTGTCCTGGCAGAGGACCTATGAGAGGAACACCCCGGGAGAGAGTGATAATGAGAACTGAGCCTTAGGCTGACTTCCCTGTAACCACAGGGTGACTTCCCTGTTACAGAGGCAGTGCACACATTCTGGGGTTCCCTCAACTTTTCTGTAACATTCACTTCAGTTATTTAATTTGTGCCATTCCTTTAAATAAAGAAACTTGGAATCCTTGATTCCTCTGTCCCCCAAAAGAAAGGAATGAATGAGCTATTAGTACATGTGGATGAACTTGGGAGGACATTCTGCTACATGAAAAAGGTACAGAAGCCACATATCGTATGAAATGTTCAGAACAGGCAAATCCATAAAGACAGGAAGTTGCCAGGGCTGTAGCCAGGAGCAGGGGATGAAAGCAACTGCTTGTGGGCATAGGCTTTAGTTTGGGGTCAGTAAAAATGTTCTGTAAATAGATAGTTGCATGGCTTTGTGAATGTACTACAAGCCACTGGATTATTCATATCAAAAGGATGCATTTTTTAGTATACAAATTGTATCTCAATTTTTAAAAATCAGATTACAAAAAATGGGAACCCCAGTGGCCAAGGAAAAGCACAGGAAGTTGAGATTTTTGTTGTTTGAGTTTGACTGTTTGACTTATTTTTCTTGCCTTCCTCAGATTTTTGGGATATGTCTGGCCCAGAATTTGGTGAGTGACATCGAAGCTGTCAGGGCGAGCTGGTAGAGCCCTTCGCCAGCTGCTTTGAGACACTGGACTGACCCAGCCTTCCTGACCCTCCGCCAGCCAGGCTGAGAGCCACGCTGCACTCCCACCTAATGGAGCTGCCAAGAACTTGGTTTTTGTGGGGGGGAAAACTGAGAAATGCTGCTCACTGAAAGAATTAAAAAAAAGAAAGAAAAAAACCAGTATGAAAGTCGTTGCGCCATGAATCTCTACTGTAGCCATGAACTGATGGATGGATGGATGCTCACCAAAAAGAAAAAAAGGGGGAGGGAGGGCCCCATGTGTACTTGAATTTTGGAGAATACAGTTCTGTCCTCCACCTCAGTAAGTGGCAGACTGGGAGAGGGAATTTTACACTTCATCACTTCTTGGAGGGACTGCCTTGTGTTCCGTGACCTAAAATGGGTATCTTTGGCTAAAATTCAGCCCTTTACCTGGAGGGCAGTGGTGGTTTGGCCTCCTTCCATGTACATCTCAAGAAACTGTTGCATCTCTCCTCTGAAGAAGAAGAACGCTTGCTCTTGGGTTCAGATTTTATGATTGTGTTGAACAGGTCACGTAGGCAGGCACACGTGGTCTCTGAGAAGCGGTGTGTGTACCGAACAAGGGCATTGGAGACTTCGTGATGCCATATTTGAGCAGGACTGATCTTTTTTCTAAGTAGTCTGAGCTTTACTTATCAGTGACATCCAAGGAGAAAATGAGGTTAATGAGAGGAATTAAATACCCCCCCGCCCCCACCAATTAGTGTCTGGATTCTTTGGAAACTCTGGAGTACTCTGGGTTGTGTTTTGTTTTGTTTGTTTTTTGTCTCCGAATGGTGAAGGCTATGATACAGTCCCTCTTAAATTTTGAAGTGTTTTCTTACTCAGTTCGAATATTAATTTTTTGTAGAATCTTAACCTGCATGACCTATGAATTAGAATACACCATCTCCCTCTCCCTGCCATCTTTCCTACAGGCGTTTAGAAATGTTGGTCAGCAACATTTATTCATAGGTCCATGGCCTTGGGAGATTGTAGCATGGAGTCCCAGCCTGACTGGGAAGAGACTGACTGTGCCATCGCAAATGCTCCCATGGGCTTGACTGTCTCTTCCAGTGTCAAGCTTGGTGGCTTTTTCTACACCTTCCTCTTCTTTCTATTTGAATGGAGTTGAACCTGATTCCAAAACATTTGGCACAACCAGTAAAAGGCCAAACAGCAAGTCCAAGTGAGTTTTAAATTTTAATCACCCTTTATTTTTTACACTTGAAAGTGATTGTAATAAAGATTGTCATTAATAAACTTGGTTCTACCTTACATGGAGTTCTGTGTTCGTTACTTCTCCGTTAAAGTGAAATTCCCTGATCCAATGCATTTCTTACTCTGCTGTGCGACACAATCAGGGCTGGGCTGGAGTGCAGCTCCCTGTGCTCAAGTCCCTGGGTTCAGTGTGTGGGTCCATCCCGCAGAGGATGGCACTGCCCCATCCCCAGAATTTCTAATGTGCTAGATCCAGAGTAGGGCTAGAATGTTTGCCTTTCTATCAAGGTCCCAAGGATGCTGTTGTCTGAGAAACACACACTGACTTTGAGAAGCACTGCTCTGACCACTGGGAGGGGAGAGGTTAATTCTTATGGTTGGGTAGGGAGATGTCCCCCTTGTGGTTTTGGTAAAGACTGAGGAGAGCCTGGTACTCTTTGTCACTGAGGCCTCCTTCCACTGGTTACAAACCTGAGGATCATGGAACTCACCCCCCCCACCACCACCACCAGGAAATGACTCTAGGAGTTATGTAGTGGGGCCCCTAAGGTGAATATTTTTTAAATTCCTTGGAACTAGGACTTGTGGACCTAGATAAATTTATACTTTTTCCTAAGAAAATAATTGCTTGCTGTCCTTTGAGGCAGGAATCTTAACCCATCTGAAATATACCAATGTGTCTTTGTGAATTATCCCTGAAGAAGAATTGTACCTTTAAGATTGACTAAAGACTTTTCAAAGATCAAATGGAAGCAAAATTTTAAGGTTCATACAGTACTATCAGACCCTGACAGTATATCCCAGTGTTTCTTATTTGCAAAACATTTTGCTTTACCTCCCTTGTTATTTGAAACAAAAGTGTTATTTTGATTTTGAGGACACTTGTCGCTGGTGGTTAGAGATGACAGGTCTACATGGGGTGATTGTCTTTTTGCTCTGTGTAATCTCTGGCCAACAGATGAGAATATTATGGCTGAGAACTAAAATGATGCTTTGCCTACAAAACTCAAAACCTGGGGGAAGTTTCTTCAACTGTGAAGATACTGAACTTTAGAGGAAGATTTTTTTTTATTTCTATTTCACTGGTTACCATAAACATTACTGCTCTCATAATATGAAAGGGTAAGGTTTTGTAAAAGGAACTGAGGGATTAGAAAGTAGAAGTTTGCATCACACAGTACTTGAAAAAGTTCTCTTTCTTCTCCCCGGGAAGAAACCCAGGCTTTTCTATCTGCCCTCTTCTTGCCACGCATCCCAGGCCTTTCTCCATCATGAGGAGTCTTACAAGTGTCTCTAGGCTTTTTCTCATTACGCAAAGCATTTGATCATTCATGCCTTGTGTTTGTGTGGGCAGCAATTGGATAATTTTGCAGTTTTGTGGAGCTTTTCTCTCAGGGTCTGTTTCCTGCTCACTTGGACAAGGGCCCTGGGAAGCCGGTGGGCTGAACAATGAGATCCTGAGCCCAGTGACCTGGGTGGCCCTCCCCAGCAGTCTTTGTCATTTGTTCCACAAAGTGCTCCTTCTCTAGGGAAATCCTGCTCAGACCTCCAAAGAAGAACCTGGAACCTCTCCATAAACACTGGAGATTTCCGGCCAGCATGCTCCAGTGGGGCCAGGGGCTCTCTGTAGGTGCTGTGAGTCCAGGAGGAAGAGGAAAGGCAGCATTTGCTTTATCATGCAGGGTCCCACTGTTGACCATCTACACAAGACAACAGGCAAGGCAGATGTTTCTGAGTCAGGAAGCAGGGAAGAGAAGCCAAACTACAAGCAGGGCCAAAGCCATCTGTACACTCACCCCAGCCTTTCTCTCTCTCTTTTTCTCTATCTCTCTCTTTCTTTTGGAGTGGTCTGCTACAAGTAGAGTTTATAAAACTCCAGTTCTCAGGGCTTTTTAAATTTGAGGAACGGACTACAGCTTCCTCTGGTGTGTTCATGTTGAGTGGCTCTCTGGTAAGCTTGCCACCAGTGAGGGGCTGCTGATTGGTCCCTTCCTGGTGTGCGTTAGTCCAAATTAATCCCCTGGTGACCAACACTGGCCAAGTGCAATTTATTCCTCCACTTCTAGGAACACCAGCTAAAGTAAATCTAAAGAAGAGCAGCCTAGTTAATGGCTTTACACTGGAAATGAACTCCGGAAAGAAACAGTAGCATGCAAACACGAGAGTGCTTCCCATGCTGTACGCCTTTGCAGAGGAGGGGTGGGGGGAGTCAAGGCCAAGGCTGTCCTTTAAATCTGAATGTGGGATTTGCCAAGCTTGTACGGGAACGTTTTAGTGGCCTGCCCTCTAGTGTCAGCCACATGAAAGCACAGCCGACTGGAGCTGGATTGTGTAGTTCTTCAGGGATGAAACGGCATGTATTCAGAGGCACTTGTGCTTTGGAGAAACCTGGAGGTATGCAGCTCCCTTGGAGCAGGGAGCTTTATTCCTTCTCCATACTCCCAAAATGGTGTGACGTGTGGAATGCTAGGGAACAGGGTGCTTTGCTCTCCTTGGTATCTGTGTCCTTATCTTTCTGCTAGGATTTTATTAGGGTGAGCTTGCAGGTGTCAGGTAATTGTCAGGTGGTATCTGGGCCCTGCACTCCTGCCAAGTCTCAGATGCAGTTTCTAGAAGATGGTGGTGGTTCATCTGCCAGACAGGAAACACCAGGTCCTCTAGGTGCCAGTCACTGGAGGTAGATCTCAGCCTGGCTATCTGCCTCTCCCTCCCCAGGGCACACTCCATCCACTAGAACTAAGGGTTTGTATGACACAAGGCCCCAGGGTCCTGAGTTGCATCTCAGCTTCTTCATACAAGCCACAATTCTGAAACAACATATGCAGCATTCTTTATAGTTCCTCTGAAAACACCAATGTGTTTTCCCAGAGTTTCCTTTGATCTGAGGATTTGCAGCCTTGATTTTAAAGGCAGTGGAGATGGTGACTTATGTTTTGGGAATTTGTCATGGGTTGAGTTGTCTTCCAAAATTCTTATGTTGAAATTTAACTCCCAGGACTCTCAGAACATGACCTTGCTTGGAAATCATTGTGTATATAATTAACTCAAATGGTGTCAACCTGAGTTGGGTAGAATCCTGCTCCAGGATGATGGTGGCCTTATTAGAAGGGGCTGTGTGGCACACAGGCAGAATACCACATGAAGGAAGGCAGAGATGGGGGTAATGCACCCATAAGTCAACGAATGCTGAGGTTGCCACAAGAAGGTAGGAGAGGCAAGAAACAGATTCTCCCTCAGCCTCTAGAAGGAACCAACCCTGCCAACACCTTGACTTTGAACTTTTTGTCTCTAGAGGTGTGAGAGAGTAAGAGACTTGTTTAATTCCAGCAACCCTGGGGAACTAATAGAGTTTGATCACCTGCTGCTGATCTAGACCTACTGGAGGTCTTCGTGTTTCTTTCCTCTGGTGGGCTGACTAGACTGCATGTGCACCTGAATGGGACACAGACCATGCTCTGGGTCTGCTTTAACAGATGGAGAGCTTGTTCCCCCTCACACCAAGCAAGGATGCATGGAAGGCACTGTGAGGAAGAGGCCCTAACCAGATACCAAGTCTTTAGGTGTTTTGCCTTTGGACTCCCCAATCTCCAGAACTGTAAGCAATGTATTTCTGTTGTTTAGAAATTACCTGGTCCATGGTACTTAATTATGGCAGTGTGAATAGTCTGTTTTCTCCATCCAGTTTTTTGGTGGTACTGGGGTTTGAACTCAGGTCCTCATGCTTTCTAGGCAGGCATTCTACCGCCTGAACCACTCCACCAGACCTTTTTTGTATTGGGTTTTTTTTTTTTTTTGAAGTTTTAGCAAGGATTTATTTTAGTATAACAGGGTAAAGTATAGACAAGGGGTGGGGGAAGAAAAGAGAAAGAAACACTTCCTGTTCCCCACACAGGAAATAGTAGCAAAGACTCCTGTATTAGGCATTTTCAAGATAAAGTCTATTTCTCCGGGGCTGGCTTCGAACCACGATTCTCCTGATCTCTGCTTCCTGAGTAGCTAGGATTACAGGTGTGAGCCACTGGCGTGCATCTTCTATCCAGTTACTTTGTTCATGCAAAATATCTGGGACCTGGGAGTAGGCAGGGAGGTCACCACCTGCTGCAGTGAAGGTTCTTGTTCTTTTTCAAGGTTGAAACCAGGCCCTGGCCTGAGAGCAGTGTTTTCTCAGTCCTTGACGGGCATTAGAATCACCTGAGAGCATTAAAAACCTACGGCAGTCCTCCGGGCCCTTTTGGTAAGCTCTTGGGTCATTGTAACATGCCAGGTCTTGATTGAGGTCTTGATTGAGGTCTTGGATGGGGCTGGAGAGTCCATGGATCTCCAGCTCCCAGATGATAGTGATTCTGTGATCTGAGAGGCAAGAACAGTCTCCTCACTTAGAGCTGTGCAGATCAGCCCTCGCTTACCCTCCTCACTGAGAGCTGAGTAGTAGACTATGGGCTTATGCATAAGGCCCTGGGTTCAATTCCCAGCATCAAAAAATAAAAACTAATACCTTATCATTGGTATGTTTTGATGACATCTTTCCTAAAGCTACTAAACTGAAATTTTCAGGCCTGGGAAGAAAATACAGGTGATTGTAAATAGGCAATATGTATATTATGCTTACAAATATGCGTTATCCTGATACAAAAGAAAAATCTCAATGCAGAAAACCAAAAGAAGAAATCCCTTGTGTTTTCAAAATCTAGACACATACACTTGTAATATATTAGCATGTTTATGTTTTTGTTTTAAGTTGTACAATAAGGACCACACTGTTTTGTGGTCTGCTTCTTTTAAATCAAGATATTTTCAATGTCAGTGAATATGATATACAATAAAAATATTTGGGTCACAAAGAATTCTATTATATAGATCAAGGGTGCTCAAAATTTGGTCCATGAACATTTTATAGTTTTTAATATGCCAAG